TCACTAATTATCTCATTTTACAAAATATAAAAAATGTCTTTGATCAATGCAGCAAGTAAGGCAGTTAATTTATATTTGTCTCCTCGTGGGTTTTAGTGACTTTGTTTAATCATATTTCAATGCTTATTTATACATGTTAATATACACAGACAAACAACAACAACAAGTTTTATAAATAACAAGAATTTGTAAACATAGTAACCAACGTCTCCCGCCTAAGGGAAATTTTAAATGAAGCACAATTCGTGCTATTTTAAAAGTTTGAGGTATTTGGATCTGGACTTTCGGTGATCAATGCTAGAAACAAGAAATTCATTTAAGAAATATAATGAAATAACTCCTGTGTATGTTTTAACAGAAATGCATGTTTATAGTTGTTATCACTATTTCAAAGCCAATACAAAATCAATATCGGATATGGTATGTTACAGGGTAAATTTTGTGTCAAGTCATTAATCAAGGTCTGTGAGCAATGCATCAATGCTTTGATTTGCATTGGCCTGACTTGGCATCATACCCTGTAACAGACTATTTAAGGACTTTCCAGTTTGACCTTGACTTTTGAGGTAGGGGTCTAGGAGTTGCTCATGACATGCCGTCTTATTATTGTTAACGTGCCAAGTTATTTTAAAATCCCTTGATTTTTTACATACCACACACAAAACATACCCTAGAAAAGGCAATGTTAAGCTTTTGCACTCAAGTGTGAGCTAGACATTGAAGGTAGGAGTCTGACTATTCCATATGACACATATGGTACCATTATTGAGAACATTTCTGCCAAGTCATTTCAAAATCCCTTGAACATTAAACAAATTATAGACTGCACACAAAATATACGCTATAAAAGACCATGTTAAGCATTGACCTCTCAGTGTGGCATTGACCATAGAGATAAGGAACCGGGTGTTATGCATGACAAATCGTATTATTATTATCAACATTTATGTCAAGTATTTTCAAAATCCCTTGATGGAGTTCAATGCACTGTAAACAAGATATACCTTGTAACAGACTATGGTTATCTTTGACCTCTTTGACATAATTTGACGGACGGACATACGGAATGAGCCTATTTCTATATCCTTTTTGTTTCTTCGAAAAGGCGGGGGACATTCACTAGCAGAAAGGTTGGGCCTTCCCCCAGTGACTGTCATTGAATTTGGTTTTTAAATTAAAGTGAATATTCTGATTTTTTTGCTCGAAATTTCCGAAATAGCCATGGTGTTGTTGACGTTGTCTTTGCTGTTACATATGCCGTTGTCGTCCGATGTTAACGTTAGGCATACCTGTTTTATTTCTCAATGGATCGCCTTGATACTGGGACACATCAACCCTTTGGACAAGACTTTCAAGTTGACCAGACTGAACATAAAGTAATCACTCCGTCCGTGCTTTGCCTCGTATCCTGTTTCTATTTGATGTCCTGCTGGGATCCTTGCCGGCGCTCCTGTGTTAATAGGTCATGTGAGGTTACGTTCATTGAACGCCGCCCTTCCTTGTTGATCTTGATTTTCATATTTTGACCATTGCTCTTACATTACATTGACATTAAAGGTCAGATTTTTTAAGTTTGCTAGATTTTTGCTATTGTTGGCTATAACTTCATACTTGAACACAACAATCCTTTAACAAAATTGATTATGACCACCTTTACTCACCAATGACATCGACCTTGAAGGATTGTTTTCATACTTTAGTACAACTATCTTAAAGACAATGTCTTATAAAAGATAAAATTCAGTCTCGTCTTGACTCATAAATGACGATTGATTAAGGTGTGACCTCGACCTTTTCATAAAACTGATAGTCAATGTCATATTTGATATTTTAATTATGTTTTGTTCAAATACATGTAGTTATGTTTTTCAGAAGTATTCTTATTACAATGTTCTTTCTCCAATGTGTTTAACTTTAAAAATAAGAAAATGTTGAGCGTGGCCCCCGCTTGGCAGTGGTTCTTTTTTTTGTTTACAGTAGCGTAACGTTTAACATTTGATGGTAAGTGCAAGCTACTGCCACATAGTACTGTTGGTGGATTGCGTTCTGTGATTCTTCTTTGATTTTTGTTTGTTTAGGGTAGGGGAGAAGAGAAATGTACGACAGTCTGCGTTAAACTCATTTGCTGTGTTTGGTCTTCTTTTGAGATCATCTTTTTTCCTAGTCAGACACTAAACATGATGTCTCTGTGCATCCTCTTGTCCAATTCATATCTTGACAATAATATTATTACCTGCTGAAATGTACATTAGTTTATATAAATTAATTCTGAACATAATGCCATCACATGAATATATAATAGATAGATAATTTTCATTTTATTTTATAACCTTTATATGATATACTGAATGATAGCGATGTTTCTAAATAATTATCTCCGGTTTTACAATTCCAAAATGTGATTTAAGAATTTTTTTGGAAATTCGAAACTTTCACATAAGTAACTGTTATGTTCATACTTGTTGAATTTATTTACTAACCTAGTTTCTCTATGAAATTGTATGTATCTTTTGATCCAGTTATTTTATGTAATACTTTTCGAACATTATATATGCTATTTAAAATAATTACGTTCTTTTATACACATTCACATGTTTTATTGTATAAAACAGTAATAGACGTTGTATTTCATTTTATCACACACCAGTGCCGATTTTGCGACTCCGTAAATATGGTATTGCACGGCCGTGCATATATTTTGACGTGACGTCATTAGCGTTATACAAACATAGTGTAAAGACGCGCTAAATGTTGGCGTTATACTATATGCGCGTCAATGAAAAATGACTCTTATTTCACTTTAAACTGTATTTATTTTTGGTATGTGATAAATAGAATATTAAATTCGTGTAAGTTCAATACTGAATTTATTGCACTCGTTGAATAAAATAATATTATGCTCGCCAGAGGCTCGCATAATATAATTTTATTCAACTCGTGCAATAAATTCAGTATTGAACTTACACTCATTCAATATCCTCTATATAATATTATAACGTTTCTTTTACGCGTCAAATGTGGCGTTTATTAACGTCTTATTTTGTCTTTTTATTAACGTTTGGTAAGTTTACGTCATTTCCTTTGTTATGATGCTAATAAAACAAAACATATATTGATATTTAAAATTGTGTTGGTTTTTGATCTATTAGTCCTATTTATATAAATAATAAAAAGATCAAAAGAAGACGGTAATTGCCCCCATAAACGTCCAGCCAACAAGACCACCGAACAATTCACTGTATCTTCCTATTTCATTTTCTTGAGTTTTTATTTTTAATATGCTGGACTATTTGACGGTGTTCCTGTGTTGTATTGGGGATGCGTACATTGAATGCCACCCTTACATGTTGATCTTTGTTTTCAAACAAAGAAACAGTGTATTTTTAAAAGACTTTAGATCTTGGTTCTCTATTTTGTAAAAAGTTCATGTCCGAGTGTTTTATTTATACTTGTTATATATTTTATATCGTTTCTTTAGATTGAACGGTCACCAAAACCATAATAGAAATTTGGAATGTCTCTTGATAAACTATAACAGTAAAGGCGATGGTTCAATCAAACCGAACCTTTAACATTTTCAAGTTTGCCGTTTTGGGCGCACATTAAATTTAATAAAAGCTGTTGTATTTTCGATTCTTGAAGAGTGTTCACCATGACATTATTGTAATGTGTGTGCATGGTTGTGGTATGTTTAGTTCTTCTATTTGATCTGTCTTCAACTTTCGTTTCAGTATTCCTCATCACCCTTAGGATAGATATATGTCTTTTATTATTTTGTCTTTAACGCCTTGTTTGTGATCTACATACTTCGAAACCTGTCTGTCTTTCCCTCTTTCAAATTTCCATTTTATTTAATGGTGTCAATTGTTTCCACGTTGAGGGCAGACGCATTCTTTTACTTGGGGTCCATACGAACGTCTCACAGTAAATGTTCCATGATAACTGTCGTATGAACCTATTTGTAGAATATTTAATTTCATCATGCATTGAAGTACTAGATGAGTTGCTTGCTTTAAAATGACTTCATTTAATCGCATTTTATGAATGAATCGTGCTAAAGTGACGATATTTCGGCGCATTTATATTACTGTTATGATATGTTTTCTTCATTTTGAAATTTTCTTTTTGCATTTGAATGTGATATGATACTGGTTTCATAACATTACATACTGGTTTCTTAACATTACATCAAAAATGAAACTGTGTGCTAAGGATGACGTAATTTCGCCGTTATGAATGATTGCGTAATTACATACGCTCTGCAATAAAATAGAAATGACAAGAAATTCTATGAAAAAATATTTAATTGAGGTTAAGCATTTTTAAATATGGTACAATTTGAAATAAAAATATCTGACTTGTGTTTTCGGTTCAGATCGGGATATTCATCCCTTGGGTACTCACCCACGGTCGACAAATCGCCCACCCGGTTACCGCACAATGGACGGGAACACCCGGGACGGATATTCCGATCCGTACCCCGGCATATGACAGACTTTATTATTCTCATCATTGGAGACCATTCAGAAACACAGTGGTTTAATGGTACTTTCAGTTTTGTTAAGTTAATCATTTGTCGTTAGGTGGTTCCATTATTCCAAATGAGAACTGTAAAATTACTGTTATGATATGTTTTCTTCAATTTGAAATTGTCTTTTTGTATTTGAATGTGATATGATACATGTTTCATAACATTACATCAAAAATCTATTCTTTCCCTATTATTCTTGTTTAGAAGCCACACTAGTTATCTTTACCCGTTGAAGGTTGGCCATTCTTATCTCTTGATATTTCTATATATTACAGTACTATTTAATAATGTAATGTGTGTTTAAGCCCTTGCTAGGTGAGGTAAGACGGTATGATTCGAAACAAACACTATTTCTTATTCATAAATACAAATTGGTATTGATTCTATATTTTTATATTCATCAATATACAACGCATTTTACATTATAATGATAAGAACATTTTCACAAAAGAGTCTTGCATGAAAAATAATTTTCTGGCAGAAATAATTGTCGTGTGTACTTTAATACTTATTCGTATTTCTATAATGTTATATATTCAAGATTTATCACCTAAAAAGCTATATTGATGATATTTAATAATAATGTATAGAACAGTAAAGACATAATTATGCAAAAATTGCATCACGCTAAGGTCAACTTTAATGTATTATCAGATATTAAATAACCTTAGGAAAACGTCATGTTCTTTACTTATCTGATAATAACAATTGCGTAAAATGTAATAAAGTAACTTTGAACATTTAAAGACAATTGACATTTCAAACAAAGGCGTTGTGCATTCAAACGCATTAATTGACCTAATATATGAACAAAATTTATATTGTTAGATAATAAAAATGGTAAACTGATCAACATGTGATGCAATAATATTGATCTCGTTTAAGGCTGTAAACGGATAGTATACGTCAGTTAGAAATAAATTTATGTACGTATAGTCTATTTGGCTGATACTAAACCCTTATCTTGCGCTCCTGGAACCGAGTGATTTGCATTTTCCCACCAGTGTAGAGCCACTCAATCTGCACACACACATTTATGCAGTCTGACAAAGCTCTCTACTGTCTGTATACTGTTTGTTTTCGTATTGAAAGACCCTAGAGTTTGGACTGGCCTTTTCTCAGCTTTAGCAGGTGATCAGTTCAAGGAGAATAAATCATCTGAATTAGCCAATGCCAAAAGTCAGTTGTTTTCATTTTTAGCTTGCTATTGTTTTTTTTTATTATTTGTTTTGCGTGTGTCTGTATGCATTTAAATCTTTATGTAATAATTCACGGGTTTTCTCAATTTATCATAACATAAATTCAAAATACATGTTATGCTTTAATTAATGTAAAACAACAATACACAACAATGTACATGTATTCCCGCCGAAGTAACAATAATGAATTGTTAGGATAGTAATACTAATTTTTTGCCCAGGTATTTATCACACATAAAACTAAATATCATAACAATTACTAACATACACAATTCATATAACAAAGTACGGAAACAATTGCTAACACGCTCGTTTCATAAACCTAACAGCAGCACAAATGCTAATAGCGAGGGAACCAGTGTTTCAGTCATCCGTCCACTAATAGCTGAATTACACAAATGTCTTCCACACATACACAAGTAGCCTCTACCATCACGCTCCGACCGACAGATACCGTCAATTTTCATTATCCTGAATGCATCCAATTTACTTGAGCAAGTTCTATGCATGTACAGAACACCTAGAAGAAATATCTTATTCAAATGAACATAATCTGAAATTCCAAAAAATACAACTAAGCTTCAAGTATTTCAGTTATAGTAAAAGAAGACATTTTGTACAAGAAGATGAACTTGAAGAATGCCATGTTATTTAAACTAAAAGAGAATTGCTACTACAAAACCGCTGTTCTGTTTCTGCATGATGTAAACAAACAAACAAACATTATTTTTCTTTGAAAATGTTTATATACATATATACGTATATTATCATCAAAAACATTATTTTGCAAGCCAAATTTGTCACAGAAAGATTGTTCATGTGTTTAAATGTGAAATGTGATTATACAAATATGAATGTGAGTAACTTCTGTACAACTGATTATCAGCAATTGCTAAAATAAATTATACGAAATGGCAATTTGAAGGTACTGAGTGAGAAAGCACCGAACCGAAAACGATAGAGAACATAAGGGCGGTGAAAGAAGGGGAAGACATATGGTAAGTAAAATGATAAGAACTTAGAGGGGGATACAGAATTAAAGAGAGAAGGTTTGGATGTAGAAAAAGGGGAGAAAGGTCACAAAAAGATAGGAAATCACAGAACGTGTAAAACATACAAAACATGTAACAATACCCAAGACAAACATGTGAAGGAACACAGAGCCTACCGTCCAGGAACACGTTTTCCATGATACATCAATGTATGATATCTAAATGGTCAATGGAGACAGAGAGACAATCCAATCTATGAATTAAAAAACAACTTGTAAACAAATAAATATGCAAATATTTCAAGTCGTGCTCCTTGGTAACGATCATATTAACATAGAAGAAATTGCAAAAACTAATAAGAAACAGAGAATAACGTTATCGTAGATGTATGTATATGAAAGTATTCAAAAGTTGTAAGTAATAGATATTTCAGTATGATCTTAAAGACTCGTTTAATAGACTCTTCATCCAATACAAAATCACCAAGTACAGATTGTGTTGACAAGTATGTAGAAGTTTCGATTTTAAGTATTCTTAAGAAAATTCATTTTTTCCAATTTTGTTAGTCACTAATCAAAGACATTTCTACAACTCATTGAGTAAAGTTTCCGTGTACATGATATTAAATTAGTAAAAGAAACGCTACAAAAGACTCGATTTAGTTGAGTCTGAGCGGATATTGTTGATTCAAGCTACCTACTGCCAGTAAACAACCCGATTATATTTTAAATTTAGTTAATGGTCATCACATGCTTTACCAACATAAATTGTTTCTTTTCTGCTCGCAAACATTGTAAGTATATGTAAATGAAACATTGTAAGTATATGTAAATGAAATTAAAGACATAAATTTAAAAGTTGACAATAATATATCCGAGGTGACTTAAGTGAACATGTGAAAGATCCACCCGTTGGTTTGTATAAATTGGACTACAACACATACCCAGACTTACATTAGTTGTGTCTCTACTATCTGTGTAAAAGAAAGAAGATTTTTTTTTATTTTACAAATGTTCCCGTTTAGAACTTGTATAATGTGTTTATGTATTTTTCTTACGTGATGTCATCGGGCAAATAAAGGGAATGTACATTATATTCCAAGAGGTTTACGATCGGAAATAAAATTAAGTGAGATCTAAGGTTATGGACAGGATTATGATTATAGTTTATTTGCGTGTTGTTGGAGACTATATAGGGGTGCAAAGCTTCTCTGAGATATATAAACAAGAAAAATATTACATACATTCGTATGTAATATAGGTACGATTGCATACTACTTTTTGTGAAGACTTTATGTTTGCTGAATTAAAGGTGTAATGTAAAATGAACAAACATGGAATGTAATTAATGTATCACCATATTAAAGTTGCATGCCTTCAGATGAGAAAAATGATTTCAAGGAAATCAAAATATGAAAAGAAAATTCACGGTCAATTGACTGCTTTGAAGCATAATCACAAAAAAAAATACAGGAAATTAAAAAACCTTTTTAATACACTAAAGGTAGAATTTCATTGTAAATCATAGTCAAAGATTTGAGATATGATTATTTATTCATATTAACATCATTATTGGTTATATATTGATAAAAAAAAAACCCGAAAGACACAGTTTGTAAATATTTATTACAATAAAATATGAAAACGGTATACGCGCCGAGGTTAGCTATAATTAAAATTCCCGCGCTAAGTCGCGGTGGTGCTTGGGATAATCACTTGATACTGTAAATGGCAGCCATTTTACGATACGAATCCTCGGACAGTTTATCCTGCCGAAAAGATATGAAAAAATACTTGCAATTCAAAGTTTGCTGGCTACATAAAGATTATCGATTTACTCTTTGCACACTTTTTCTCTGCCTGAGTATAATAATATTTACGTGTTTTCATTGGCTTAAACCATCACGTTACCAATACACATGTAGGTGTGAACTAATTTCGTGTTCATTTAAATTATTCCGTTAATAGACATATAACAATCTTATTTACAAATGAATTGATAAAACAACAATCCCAGAAGCATTTAAGATAATAACAATCATTGGAAAAAAATAAATGCATTTAAATTGTAAATTTGTGTATGACGACTCAACCCCCTAAACAAAACATAATAGACTCAACCAGAACAAGCGCCTGCTTCTTCACCTAACTATGTAGTTGCATGACCATGATTAGCAATTTAGCAAACCAAATCTAAGAGATAAACCTATTGTAAAAATAATAGTATGACCACAGCAGATTTCGTACAGAAAAGGGATTCTGTTTCCAAAGGACTGAAAGCAACCAACCACTGTTCGGTCAAAGAAGAAACTTTAAGTTAATGTGTAAAAAGCAGGTCAGCAGCACGGACAGGGTTGTCAACAATTATATCAACTATAAACCAACGGCAAATATGTTTGTTATATATCGGAGACTTTGTAGCTGATAAAGACGAGAAAAAGTAGCTGTCGAAGTATGGATCTCAATAGAACTCAAAGTTGGCCTTAACAAGAATAAACTCAGGACTGAACACAGAATCATGACAATAGTTATTTTGACTTTGAAAAGTGGAACTCGATATCAAGGTCAATCAAGTTTTTAGAGGTGTCGCAAAATATGCAAAAAAAAACCACCTGTAATGTTGACTTTATGATATTTTTCAAACTCTATATGAATGAATCAGTGTCCGGTGCAACTATGTTGTTGATACTTAATGGATGATAAACATTCGTTAAACTAAAATTAAAAGGTATGTTTAACGAATGCAGATAGAAATTTAGTAAGAAATGTTGCAGATTACTACTTAAATTATGCAGATATTTTAACACAACAATACTCATATACATACCACCATAATAATGCGTCCATTTTAAACAAATTCCATTAGCACAGTGTATAACAGTAAGGTTATGTCCTTTTTCCTCTTGAGGATTCACAGGATCGGCGCATGAGCTGTTTTCTGCCGGTGCAAAACAATAGTAACAACTAATTGGGTCTGAAATATTAAACCAATCGTTAAAAATCACATTAAGAAAAAAAGAAAATTCCATGTTAGGCAAGTTTCCCAAAATGATTTGTCCTAGTGGACAGAGATGAGTTCCTTTTAGAATGTGTCATTATTTTGACAGGCAGGAAAAAAATGTGAAATGAATACAAAAATAAAAAATAAAACGCATAGTAATGGCTTTTGAAAAATACAATGTCTTTCTAAAAAGCTAGATGTGGTAAGTACTGCTGCGAGTGACAGTGTCAATGTCAAAACGAACTTGTTTATTTCCTCTGTTTTATATTTAATATAGATGCACTTCATACAATGTTTGTAATAAAAGCATGTTGCAAAATACGATGAAGAAAATATCATAGCTGCGGTCTGTTTATTCTTTTAGCATATCCACTTAAATACATGATTAATTCCTAATAATTATTAGAACTGGATAACCTGAAGGTTAAGAGCCAAATGTAATTAAACTTGTTACTTATCATGCAAGCCACGACTATTTTTTACGAAAGAGTTTTGTGTACATGAAAACAACAAATAAATAAAGCAATCATTCCATTAGGCGAGCAATGAAATGTTAAAAATGCCATAGAAAACATGTTTTGCAAAGATATGAAATTATCAAGGATTACATGGTATTATATTCAATAGAATTAGACATTTGTTTCATAAAAAAACTTATTGCAAGAAATATAGGTTAATTATGTGGCCTCTAGTAGCACATTTATAAAGTATAAGACTAGTGATTTATTGTCTCTGATTAAAACCATAAAGTTGCCAATAAGAGGGGTTTTAATCATTGGTATGGTTTGTAGAAATATAAGGCGCTTTCAAAAATTAGACCTACCGAATATGATCGGTGAATGTATGAACAAAGAAAAAATTCACAAACCTGAAAAGTCGCTAGGTTGACCCCTAGCACTGTCCATAGTTACCATGACTACCATGGCAACTGTTACTAAGGTCACAGCATAGTATTCCATGACTTTTGAGAAGAATACATTACATTTCTTAATTTATCGAGCTCATATTTATTCCTTTTGATCTGAAAAAAAATATCACACACAAATTACACAACTATGAGTGAGTAAATGAGCGCGTTATTGTTTCGTCAGAGTATAATTAACGTTTATATGCCAATCAGATATTATATAGATCAAAGGCAGGTTGATTGTTCTTCTTTATCAGCATTAATTATGTAAAAATCACTGCACTCTATATCATGCGGCTACATAAAACATTTGATCAATAAAATACCATCAGAGACCAAGTTAAACTTAATATCTCATTAAATTGTTTAAATTGAATAAAAACGTTTCATGTATTAACAGATTATAAAAATATTCATGGAACAGTTATCGTCCTTTAATAACAAATAAATCTTCAAAATGTCATAATGTACAAAATTAATTTAGCACGTTTCCCCTATTTAACAAGCCATTCCAAAGGATCTCTGAAACTATTGAGCAGTTCGCCAACCCTTTAAATGTTTTTGAAAATGATCGCTTGTTGAAATTATTTTATCAAGTATAAAAAACTTAAAATTACTCACAAGAAGGCACTTTTTATCGCCACCTAAGACAATAAGCGAATTTCTCTTCAGCGAAAACTGATCTCAACTGTCCAAATTCTTTTCTTAGGCAATATTTCGCAGTCGAAGACGGTATAAACAGAATACGATCTTCCAGCTATGACAAATTTTGTTCAGCCTGTTCCTGCACGTGGAGCCATAGAATGTTACTTTGTCATCAGTAACTGTGAAAGTGTCTTTTGTCAGCTTTGTCGATGCCAGCTCTAGATGTTTTAAGCTTTACAAATTTGTAAGTAGCTACTATGGTATATACATGCAAAGACAACTTTATCAAACTAAATTAAAGTCATATTTCATGCGAGATAATGGACAATGTAACCTGATTCATTCCATAAAAGAAAGCTTTTAAAAATGTTATATAGAGCGTAAAAATAATCGATATCATGATCCTATAATATAACTATTTTATTCAATTTGTCATGGAAATCTTTAACAATTTTAAAAGCAGAGATTTTGGCGAAAAATGTAAAGTAATTTAAAGAAAGAGGGAGACACAATATCCCATTCGGAGAAATACATGCGGGGAAAACGGCACTCTAAAGAACGACCAAAACTGCTAAGTTAAATTTTTTAAGGCTCGTCAAATGATCGTTTGTTATATCATTGTTTATGGCGAATACATCGCAGTGATTCTTTTACTCCAATTTAAAGGTCAAATATGTTTTTTATGAATAGCGTGTACAGCGACAGACACAATCTTTTTTGTATTTGAATATAATGGCCAGGTTCAATACTTAGAGGACAAACCATTAATTCCTTATTAAGCTTAATAACACATACAAATACCAAAACCGCATACCTTGCATGTCTTACAGCGGGGTCAAATTGCTGCATGCCTGGTTCGATTGAGTTTGGCAGTGGTTAATGCATGTTATTTAATCTTTATTGTAAATTGAATTTATTGCATTTAGCGTCGAATATATCGTTATGATATATCATATATATTAGGTACTTAAAATCTGTCATTTATTATTGATACCTTTACAATAAAATTAACACAGCTTGGAACATGCAATGGAAAATGTCAATAACTAACATTGGCTTTTACAATATTGAAATCACAAGTTTTGATTTCAGGGATATCTTATAAATTATTACTAAAAACAGGTGTTAATTGTCGTGCATTTAACACATAAGATACGCAACAGGTTAATAATGCATTACAGAATCATACAACATTGAAAGCATGTGAATTTAATATAACAGCATTCAATTTCATTTACATTAAAATGCAATAACTGCATGCGTAAAGTGTGATATATCGTTTATTCCATTCATTTGACGACGTCTAAAATCATACCTGGTTTTCAAATAGCGCATGAATAACTCATTATTTGTAAAGTTTTTCATCTAGAGTTATGAAGCAGGATTTGCGTTCTTAAAGATACTAATAAGAATTTGAACAATAGGATTTGAAATAGCTTTTATTCAGTAACATCAGATCAACAAGGTGAACATATATTTGTCAAGGAAAAGTTCCAAATTTTATGTGGTAGTCCTTAATTAGAATATAATTTTTCATTGTCAAACATACTGACGATTTTCATCTTTTCCTGATGTTTGGCATATTTTACGTTAATCTTACTGGCTGTTTACTGATGATATAAACAAAATGACACCAAACCTCCAGTACATTTAATCTTAACATGCTACTTGTTCTTGATATCCGTGTTATGAAGAACATACTGACTACATTTACTGATTTCAACGAAATTACTGTCAAACGAACAGTACATATTGCAAACAAATTCCGTATACCAACATTCTATTCTATAAAAGGAGACATTTGATAAAAGCAACTATATACATGTATAAGCTGGCTCTGTTTTAGTGATTCTGTTCATAAAAGAAATAAAATTGTCATTTAATTTGATTTTTAAACTGACTAATCCTCATTTTTAAAGCTCAAAAGCTATTGTAGAATCAAAGTTTCATTTTATATAAGTCACCATAAAACATCTATTGAAATAATCAAGGACACACAATAAGTTTACTTTGTTTGTTAAAATGTTTTAACTTATTAGATGAAGGATTAAATTTTTGAAAAGGTCAAATCGCTCTAAAGAACATGAAACTAGTATATAATATTATTAAACTTGATTTAATTTTACCTTCTTCAGCTTAAAAGACACATCAACAATGTAATGTGATCAAGTGCCTTTTCGTTGTGCTTGTAGAATACTTCAATTGTTCCCTCTGCGTCAACCACCGGTAACATAAAAATGTTTGAGATTAGAGAAAATGTATTTATATACGTAACTAACGGAAATCGGCTTTAAATTTTGTGTGTACAAAATTGTTTATAATTCGAAACTGGTTTGTGTGTATGTCATTTGCAATATTCGCACATGTATTCATATGGTGCTTTTCATTTAATACGTTTGTCAAGTTTTGTTCCAAGTTAAAAGAAAATTGGTACAATGTACTATAAAAACGAGTGAAACTAACAGAAAAACATATTTACAACACGACAAAAAGTACGCAGCCTCATGTCACGGAAAACTGTCAAAAGCAGAAGATATGTTCTACGACAATATTCTTATGTGATTATTGGAATCATCTTAAAGAAATGGTGATAGTGAACGAGCTAAATATTATAGACACAAAAAAAAACCGGAAAGATAAACGATATCTGAAGATCGATAACAGCTGACAATGAATGTACAAGAAGTGAATCTGTCATTATTATAGCAGTGGCAGTTTCACTACAATATTCTCTATGAATGTAACAATGAGACTGTCCAATTATTACCGATGCAGAAGTGCAGACAATAAAGTCATTGTTATTATTTTCAATCTCTCTCTCATTTTTCAAGATATCAATAAAATATAGAAATCAAGATCAACAAGGATTAGGCAGCATTTAATGAACGCATCAGCAACCCAGGACCACCTTCAAGAAGCTCAGCCAGCAGAGCACCAAACAAAAGTCCTTCTCCTGTTATGAGAAAATTATTCACAAAATATTCTATAGTATTGATATCTATATTATCATGTATTCTGCTACTACATTGTTTACTTTTAATAATACAAAATAATAAAGTCCTTAAGTTTCTAAAGAAATCAACACAATTGGGTGTAGGAAATGAACTTTACGACATACACTGTATACATGTAAACACACGTAGCATTTTATCTAGATTTTTTTTTTATTCTTTGTGTAATTAGGTTTATATCTTTGCCTTATCTTCGACATAATAAATATATTTGTAATCCTTGAATATTGTTTTTACTTATGTACAATTTTTAACAATCTTCATACGAAGTCTGTTATCTTCTCGTTGATAAATGTGTTTACAATAGAAATTTGCTAGACAGATTTATACATATTATATTTCTTCAAACTATTGCTTTTTAATATTCCATTGTTTCTTAGATCAAACAAAGATTCTGTGATAAAATACAGGATCTAACGAAAATAAGTGGTACATTAATTTGTTATGCAGCGACATCGTTAAAATCTACTGTTTTGTAGGTTTTCTTTATATAATCAATAATAATTCTTAAATAGCGACCATTAATTATGAGCTCTTTCCTATCTGTAATTGAGTAAATATATTTAAATGGAAGAACACAATAATTCAAATCTTAATTTATTTTGAAGACCAGGTATTGTATTTGTCAAAAAATATAAAGCAATGGACTAAGTGTTTTGACACCAATACGTGTATAAGAAAGCACCTAGTTGAGCTACCTTGTTTACGTGTAAACTTGCACCACACATTAAAAGGTTTTACTCAGTCCATATGTTTTCTCTTGATAATTTTATTGGACATTATCATACTGATAAGATTGTGTGTGTCATTCAAATAAAATATAGAAGGTAATTGTCATGGCATATATAAAAACAGTCATATAGGAGTTTCCTGTTCGTGATTACTACAGTGAACATATCCAATAAGAAATGTTTAAGAGTCTATTCTCCATTGTTTTGTTGTTTATCTTTTTTCTTCATATATGGTTGGATGCTTTGAGCTCTTCACTTCAGTGTTGTTATATTTTTCTGGTCATTCGGGATTATTGATTCCTGCGCTTTAAAGCGTTGAAAATTGAGTACCGCTCAAGCCGGAGCTAGTGGGGGGGGGGCATAAGGGATGTAGCACTTTTTCATTATTCCTCATGTACAGACTCGATCAAACCGAGTCTGTAATTGTCATGTAATTTTGTTGTGATTAATTCAAGGAATCACCGCTTCTCCAGATATCAAACTTTTTAGTCATTTGTGTTACACACTTTTGTAACCAATAAAAAATGACACAACGACAATGTATTTCAAAACATTTTAGGTGTTGGGACTCAAACATGTTCGAGCAATATCCCAGTAAAACACATTTTACCTTTGGTGTGAATTAAATAAGAAAGACTGTGCAATTCTTTCCATGTTTATTTTCGGTTTTTATCAATTTTAATACAACGCATTTCACATCATTTTAATAAATACATTTTCACCAGACGTTCTAAAAATCTATAACGCCATAAACTATTATGTAAAACAACGATTGAGTATTATAATTACACCAATATATTATTTTATACTACAATTAAAGTTAATAATTTTATTAAATTACTACTTCTAACTCGATATGTCAGCTTGAAATCTAGCAGTATTGTTTTTACGAACTTTTCACATATTTTTTGCATTGTATTTATTGTCCTTATTGTATAAATTGGTTTGTAAAAAGGAAATCCAATAATACAAACAAATAATGGTAACAAGAAGATAAAAATATTGTCTTAGTGTACAATGATAAAATACAATTAGGGAGTGGATAAATTACTTTTAAAAAGCTTTTTATTTCATAACTATTTTATCACTTTGTATAATGCCATAGGTATCGTCACTAATATATACGAGTATTTATATACTCATGTATATCACTTCAAACGTTACATGAATAAGGTAAAATAGGAATGTAATACAAAGGGACAATATGAAAATACATAACCATATGCATCACGCTAGGGTCAATAAATTTGACTTTTACATATACACATTTCATTTAAGCCAGCTTTGATGTATTGTCACAAACTAATTAACCTTAGGGCTCTGTATGGTGGTAAATACAACTGCATAAAAAGTAATTAAATAACTTTGAACATACTTATACAATTGTGATTTCAAACATAGGAAGACACAATTATTGACCCTATTATCAAATTAATTGTCTAATATCAGATACCATTACATGTTAACATGTACAAAAAGCTATCATTTATATGCAACTTAATATCATTGATATAAAAGGGTAGCTGAACAGTTAATATTATTAGTATAGGCACATTAGTTGAGGAGCAAATTTTCCTTCAATTTTAATCATCAACTTTTCTAAATATTTGACATTTTGCATTCATGGAATATTCTTTTCTTAATCCAACAATAAAAAAATCATCATAATTTTCCTTCATTTGTTTTCTATAATAAATGATATACTACTACGTCATTAACTAGAAATATTATTATGTTTGACTATAACCATTATAAAACAACAATAACAATCTGTTTTCATCGATATTTAAAAGATACAAGAGCGTAAAATGTATTCGGTTTTTAACTTCAATCACACCAAAGCCAAAATCAAGTTGTTGCATTCTCGATCTTTGACGTGTCACGTGTAAAGAAAGAAGTCCTGTCTAAAATCACTCCTGATTCAGATATACTATCTATGTTCTTTGTCCCAGAAAGAAGAACAGAATGGTTATTAAAGAAATGTTGAGGACTTTTGTAAAATTGTACACATATGCGGCATTATAAAAGCTTACAAATTAGGGGTTACAATATCTATAAGATAATTGTTGTTATAATTATAGTCAATGAAATATATTTAAACTAAATAGCAGCAACAAAAGATATCTTACATTTTGTGTTCAGACATATAATATTGATAATTAAATTCTTCCATTGAGCAATAAAATCATATAAAGTTGGAAGTTTCATCTCAGCACCACATTGAATAAGGGGTTCTGCAAGATGAGATTCCATTGAGGGGTTTAATCTAATATCATGAGGACATATGTTCCTGAAATTTTTATATCTGGAAACAAATTCAAACACATTCACATGTCAGGCAAATAATCTCTGCTCTTTGCAATGTTATTGTTTTGTGCAGATTCAACGCCTGTTACAAGTTAAATATCACATCTTACCATAATGAAGTATATTGCTAGCAATGCATCAAACAATGTTCCAGACATATATGTATCATTACATTGTAAATTACTGTCAAGATCAGACATCTTACAACATCTGTCACGCAAATGTATCAGACGTCTTACAACATCTGTCACGCAAATGTATCAGACGTCTTACAACATCTGTCACGCAAATTTATCAGGTTGATCAGACGTCTTACAACATCTGTCACGCCAATGTATCAGGTTAGTGTAATAAGACATTGTTAATATGTTAACTAACAAAGGTACTGTCTTGTGAATCATTCGTTAACTAGTTAACAAGCTTCCAAACGCACACATTTTTTGTCAAAATACAAGACGTATATTCTTCCATGTGGTGTTTTCACTGCTTATATAACTTTATATATTCATTGAACTTTGTATTTTGTACTATATGGTAATAACCACATTCAGGTTTTGTTGGTATTAAGATTTGGCGTAAAATCGTAGATTATTGTTAACAACATTCTTTCACATCCTCCCAATTGTCATATTTCGTTTAACAATTCATACAATATTGCATAAAAATGGCAAGACACATTCCGACTTAGAAAACTTGGTTATTAATGTAATAAAACATTGGACAAATGGATCCCATTTAAATAAGGTCTGTTCCATTAAATGATAGGAAATTACGATCATTTATTTTGGTACTTTAAATATATCCAAATAATAACCGGATTTCCATTTTGATTTTCACATAAAACTAAAGTTTTATAACGAAAGTGGCATTCCTCTCGTTAAACTGACAACCATCAATATTGCTGATAGTAATATGTAAAGTTTTCTCGCCGTATGGTCACTTTCAGCTGAATTACACAAGTGTCTTCCACACATACACAAGTAGCCATGGCCCTCACGTTCTGACCGGCATACACCATCAATCATCATTATTCTGAAGTCGTTCAATCTATCAGAGCAAGTTCTATGCATATAGAGAACATCTGCAATAAAAGAAATACATGTAGTTAAAGCTTTTAATATAATTGTATGAACAATTCTACAAGGAATTTTGCAAGGATGTATAAACATTTTACAATTATGATTGCCATCATACAATCGGCTTTGCTGCCAAAGCATGAGACAATATTACCATTTATCACATTATCCGCGGCGCAGGAGTGTCTATTGTACAAATGTTCACGTATATTTTCTTATAATATATATTGTGAATGTAGCATAAGTTTTTTTCCGGTTAAAAGCATTATTTCAACGAGTTTACCCCGAGTAAATATTTCGGTAGTGCAATATGAACACTTTTATGACCAAAGACGTGTTGCTTAAGTATGTTCTTACAGTCAAGGAAAGTGCGGACGACGAAGATGATACTATCAAAGGTCAGAACAGAACATTTTTCAGCAAATTAAAATGAGCGAAACAATCAAGTCCGTAATAATTGAAATATATGCTAGTGGCAATAATCATTGAAGCATCTGTCATTTCAATTTTTATTTCAAACATAACATGCTGACAAGAAAATAAAGTATTGATTGACTTATCAGCTTAGCAACATAAATAATGGTCCACTTTCGCTGTAAGTTAGATAGCGTGTACACCTAAATGGCAAAAAAAATGGTTAAAAACACATCGAACTACATTATTCAGTTATAAAATTGATGTATAGAGTTAGCAGATACAGTACATAAAATATGTTTTTAACAAATTAATTCTTTTTAGTCGATAAAAAAGTCTTCTGTGCATCTTTTAATTCTGGCAGCCGTACAAAAGTTGCATAACGAACCATCTAGCTTTGTCTATGAGAGACACATTTTTGTATTTTCTGATCGAAGATCAGTAAATACAACTAAATTTATTGAACTCGTTGAATAAAACAATATTATGTTCGCCAGAGGCTCGCATAATATGATTTTATTTAACTCGTTCAATAAATTTAGTATTAATTAAACTACACTCATTCAATATCCTCTATGGATGAGTGTAAAGTTTACATTGAGTGTATCATTTTATTAGTCATTTCTGTTATAACAGTTTTCTCTATTGTACAAATGTTCACGTATATTTTCTTATAATATATATTGTGAATGTAGCATAAGTTTTTTTTCCGGTTAAAAGCATTATTTCAACGAGTTTACCCCGAGTAAATATTTCGGTAGCGCAATATGAACACTTTTATGACCAAAGACGTGTTGCTTAAGTATGTTCTTACAGTCAAGGAAAGTGCGGACGACGAAGATGATACTATCAAAGGTCAGAACAGAACATTTTTCAGCAAATTAAAATGAGCGAAACAATCAAGTCCGTAATAATTGAAATATATGCTAGTGGCAATAATCATTGAAGCATCTGTCATTTCAATTTTTATTTCAAACATAACATGCTGACAAGAAAAATAAAGTATTGATTGACTTATCAGCTTAGCAACATAAATAATGGTCCACTTTCGCTGTAAGTTAGATAGCGTGTACACCTAAATGGCAAAAAAAATGGTTAAAAACACATCGAACTACATTATTCAGTTATAAAATTGATGTATAGAGTTAGCAGATACAGTACATAAAATATGTTTTTAACAAATTAATTCTTTTTAGTCGATAAAGAACTCTTCTGTGCATCTTTTAATTCTGGCAGCCGTACAAAAGTTGCATAACGAACCATCTAGCTTGTCTATGAGAGACACATTTTTGTATTTTCTGATCGAAGATCAGTAAATACAAAGCCAACATTCAATCTCTGACACAGAAGTTTCAGGACAAACCTAACAACAAGTAGTTCTCAAAACAGCTTAAAACTAGCGATTTAAAAGAAAGAAATATTTTTATTTTGTTACAAGTATGCAACAAATTACAACGCATTCAAAGTTTAAAAGCAGCGTTGGCTTATAGAATTGTCAATAAATGCACAATCACAAATTACGCGGATGAATATGATTTTAATCAATGAAAATGCTATTTTTTTTTAGATAGTCTGAGGTTGGTCGTACACAGTTGTCTGTTAAATGTTCATTTATATATGCATAATCAAAGTACTGAAGGGCGATTTTCAAATTTTGCAAAATTGTTAATTAAAACTAGGAGTATAAATATTTTCTTTGTAGTTCTCACTACAAAAGTAATTTTCTGATCAGTTTGATAGAGGACATGCTAAAAAAGATTCTTGATTCTACATTATGGCCAAACCCTCAGAATTACTTCGTCACGCTACCCTACTTTTATAAATAGGGACCTAATGACACTCTTGCAGTACAAAAGGACTCATGCCCTACGGAAACAAATGTAAAGATTAACAGTATTTTCATGAAAACTCAAAATACCAGTCTGGTTGATTCTTTGTTCAAAATGTATGTATTATACAAAAAAAATCCCGATATGCTTAAATAGCATCCATGTATGTTGTAACACATATGTATATTCTTATTTTTGGAAATATGTAAGCGGAGACAACGACAGAAGTAGGCAATTTATTACCTTCTAAAAATTCATATGTAAAAGAAAGTGTCATTAATCGTTTTTGAGGTATTTTTTTCTTCCCGTTCGTTATAATAGGGATTTACAGTTTGGAGTTAGCAGATACAGTACATAAAATATGTTTTTAACAAATTAATTTGAAGTTTGAATCAATACATACCACCATAGTAATGCGTCCACTTTAAACAAATACCATTATCACAGTCTATTACAGTGAGGGTTTTCCCCTTGTCCTCTTTAGGATTCACCGGATCAGCACACGAGCTGTTTTCCGCCGGTCCAAAACAATAGTAACAACTAATTGGGTCTGAAAAAGTAAAACAAAAGCTGAAAATAGTACATTAAGTTAACAAATATTGAAAAGTGATAAAGACACAATAAAATAAATGACTTTGATACAAAGCGTTACTAAAACCATTCTGTAAACACCATCTGTTCATGTAATAAGCCAAATCTTTGTTTGAAACACAAATAAAATAATTACATTTTTAAATTGAAACTGGAATTGATTTCTATATTCAAACACAAATAAGTGCTTTCGACAGCTTTGTAAAATGTAACGTATACTAAAACCAAGATTTAATACAACATATAAATGTTTCGGCGGATATAATCAATGATTGAAATTGCATGTGTACATTCATAACCAAAATGTCTGTACCGATCCAAGCTAATTTTATAGAAATTGTATCTGAACAGAGAAACATTTCACTACTACTTTTTAATTTTATACATTTAGCAGTATTGGTTTTAGACTAGGTTTCACTATTAAAGGCTTTTATGGCCTATATCCGAGCAGCAATTGCATCATTTATAAGTGTAAAGTTTCCTCGGCCAATATAGTTGCTGTAGCATTCCGTATTTTTACAATCTCTCAGTTTGAATTTATCAACAGTTGGAGTCCAAAGTAGGCATTCTATGAAAAATCAAGTATATCAATACCAATCTGTAACTTCAGTTCGCATTTGTAGCACTTTTACATTTATTATGAAACAAGTGAATACAGTATGAGACCAACTTATATCCCACAAATAGGTCATAGATTATTTCCGGACAGATACAACGTATGCTGACCGCTGACAAAGATAATCCAATAAGATTAGCGTCCATTCAGACATTCTTATCCATTTAGATTTTGTACAAAGCTTTACCATTTTGGAACCATCTGACCATCTGGTACACCTAATATGATGCATGCATATAAATGTAAAAACAAATGGTATAATTTAATTTAGGAATAATCTGTAGATAACATATTTACCTGTTTCTATCCCTTGCAAGACTTTCAGTCAAGCATAAGGAATTTATAAAACAAATATTCAGCCAACATTACAGATATGTAAGCAAATAAAGAAAACTTAAATTGTTGCAGTTATGCATTGGTATTCCTCATGGCTGCACAATTTATGACCATGTAAACATTAAATAATTAAAACTCGTTTTTTTTCATTTCAAGTGACCATTAAAAAACATCATCAAAGGTTGTAGCAGACCGTCTGGTTAATAATTCAGAACTCTTCAGTTTTTAGTCAAAGCTGATGTATAGTTCTTCGTAACAAATACCTTTTATAAGATTAAAACAGTGATCTGGGGATTATATTTAATAACGTTGTTTTGTAACGGTAAGGGTTAAACAGTTAGAATTAGGTACAATGTATATATTTAACACAACCTCTCAGTCTGACCAGGCTCTATACTGTTGGCTCAGTTTAGTATTTTGATATTACAATCCCCTAAACTTTGAATGGACTCTTCTTAATGTATACAAATACAAGAAGGTTAATACAGCAGGTTAAAGGTTGGTTTATACAGAATTTATTTTAGTTCGATTATGTAGGAAGCTATAAGCTTAAAGACACACTTTCAAATTCGTTCCTGGAACCAACCAGTACTGAGCAATGAGTGTAAAGTTTCTTGCTCAAGGAATTGCCCCTACCAATTCGGCTAGCAATCATAAGATGACTAGCCCGACGCTGGTTAAAGGTTAATTAACATTTGAAAAACATGTACTAGATCGCAATGATCAAGAGCAAATCACAATACATTCGTTCAATAGACAACCAGATACAGGCCAATAAATCACAACCATCCTCAATTTTCAAGTGATTTATTGAGTAAACTGAACACGTTTATCATAGAATATTTACCAATCATGACAGAAATCTGAACAATGCCGTGTGTGTTTTAGATATTACACAACTTTTGCCGACTATGCAGTTTGTTAGTATTGAAATTAACCGCAAAGAAACCATCATCGCAGAAATTGAATGTGTAAAGTAGCCTTCAGCAGAATAAAATACATTTGTGAATAAAAGTACGCACTTTCACAACTTTTGGAAATGTTACTTTTGGTTCACTTTTAAAATTGTGATAGTTGTGTTTAATCGAATGCTCTAAGTTTTATAGTCTATTGACAGTATGCCTGAAATTAATATTGTTCATTTAGCTAATGCAACCGGACATTCCTTTTATTATTTAGCAAAATTGCTCGGAATCCTAAGAAAACCGTTAATATAGCTTTAATGCTTTGGCAGAAGCCCACAATATGATATTCATGTCAAAATCTTAGTATCTGAACTCTTTTTAACGTTCCTTAATGTCTACCGCCTAATTAAATGAACTATGTTTGGCAAAAGTTCACTAAATTTGTGTAACATAATTTGCAAACTATTCGATATAATTTGTCGTCTGATAAATGTTTTCAAATTTTCAACAAATAAACAGCATACAAATGATACTTTTCATACAAAAGGAAAATGATACTTTTCAGCCGCTTTTTAGTCGATAAAGAAATCTTCCGTGCATCTTTCAATTCTGGCAGCCGTACAAAATTTGCATAACAAACCATCTAAGCTTGTAGAAGAGAAGGCTATATCCGAGACACATTTTTTAAGATAGACTGAGATTGGTCGTATACAATTGTCTGTTAAATGTTTCTATATGCATAATCAAAGTTCTGGAGTGCAACTTTTAAAGTTTGCAAAAATTGCTTATTAAAACTACCAGTATAAATATAATTTTCCTTTCAAAGCTCACTAAAAAGTAATTTCCTTAGGAGTTTGAGTGAGCACATGCTAAAATAGATTCTTGATTCTTTAATTATGGCCAAACCCTAAGAATTACTTCTTCACGCTACGCTACTTTAATAATAAGGGCTTTAATGACATGCTGGCTTGTGCCCGTCGGAAATTAATGTAACAAATTAACAGTATTTTCATGAAACTCCAAAATGTCCGTTTTTATATTCTTTGTTCAAAAAGTATATATTGTAAGATTTTTCCCGATATGCTTAAATGGCATCCATGTATGTTGTAACACATATGTTTTTTCTTATTTTTGGGTTTATCTAAGCGGAGACAACGACAGAAGTAGGCGATATATCACATTATAAAAGTAAAGTCATATGTAAAAGAAATTGTCATTAATTATTTTTGAGTTATACTTTTTCTTCTCGTTCGTTATAATAGGAATTTGCAGTTTGGATCATTTATAATCCTGTCTTTCATCTTAATAACAAATGTGCGATCAAATCGAATCTGCGACTTTAATATTACTTTAGATTTGTTTTAACTTCTACAGAGGTAGCCCCTTTCCCTCCCCCATTTCGGACGACCTAAATTGTTTTTTGAAGTTACGCCAACTCCGCCACTGACAATTTCTCAGTTTGTTTATATCTAAACTATAAACTGGCCGACTTTAATTATTCCTTCCTTTCCAGTAAAACAAATTGCTCTGAAACTGCTCTGAGAAAAAGGGAAACGTATTGGGCATTGATTTTACTTAATTGCTCTACCCATATTTTACACATCAATAAATAATGCACGCAGGCTAACAACTGTTTACATTATATAACAATAAAATCGAACCTGATTCGTGGCATATTGTATTGATAAGAATGAACTGATTTCAGAATAATTATATTAATTACTTTCATTCAGCAGATGAATTTATACAAATGTATTTATATATTCACAGAAAAAAAAGAAAACTTAAATATAAGAAAATAATTGTGTTTATTTAACAAAATAAAATAAGTATTTTTTTTAAAAAAAAGAAGAGAGATACGTTATATAAAACAATAAAAGAGTGAAGTGTTATATGAAATAACAGAACAATAACAGAAAAATGGTGTTTTACAACAAGTAACAAATCAATACAGCAAGCATTTTCTGAAGACAAACAAGGAAGTCCTGAAAAAATTAATTTGTAAAATAACTCAACAAAAGATCACTCGTCCTAAACTTAAGATAAAAAGTTATAAAACTACATAAGCTAGCTTGCCTGCTTGTGTTTGAGCTAAAGAAGGTGTTTGACTGCATAGATTTTTGTTTCAATATGCTCCAATAATTATAACACTGTCATGGCATGCCTCTGAATTATTCATATAACACTCTTTTCTTCTCTTCTAATATGAAGTGCACTACTTGATACACTGTTTTATATTTTACGCAGCGGCATTGCAGTTATATAAACACACAGGTTGTTATATAAACACGCTGTTTTGCCAAATGAAACAAATTCATTGACAGGTTTTCATCTACAAAGCTAGATACATTAATCATTTCGTGTTAACGTTTCACAATGTTTAAGTAAATGAGTGAATGTAAACACATATTAAGTATGAGTCTATGGCTATATCAAAGCTATATTCAAACCTAGACACACCATTTATGAATATAAGGCGTAATTGCCAATTTTTATTTGAGCCGCGTCATGACAAAACCAACGTAATGCGTTTGCGACCAGCATGGATCCAGACCAGACTGCGCGGATCGGGATCCATGCTGTTCGCTATCAGTTTCTCTACTTCTTATAGGGTTTGTAGGCGAACAGCATGGATCCTGATCAGACTGCGCGGATGCGCAGGCTGGTCTGGATCCATGCTGGTCGCAAATGCACTATGTTGGTTTTGTCGTGACGCGGCTCATTTGATTTTTCACGGCAAGTCTGTCCGCTTGTGTTTGACGCAAACGATTAATCCTGCATGCAAAGAAAAGTTAATAAATTGTAAAGTATTTTTAAAAAGATTCGAGGCGTATATTAGCGATATAATTAAGATCAATGACACCATACTTATCAATATTACCTATCTTCAGGACACTGTTGTACAGAATAAGTAAGATAACCAGTTGCACTGTCTCTTTTGGATGAACATCCAATACTTACCTTTGTCATCAAAATTTGCTTATAAAAAAATCACCCTACTATCAGATATACATTGTGCATAACATTCTAATCTGTAATTGTATTGGAGTTATAGAAATTCAACTAATGTCTACATAGATTTAAATTCACAAAAGTACATTG